CCTGATCTTAAGCGGGGTGCATTTTCCCCTCAAGAGGAAGACCTCATCATTCACTTGCATTCCATTCTTGGCAACAGGTTAATATCTCTTACAATTTCTCCATTTCGATCTCTTTCAGATTAATTAATATATAATTAATTCTGGCAGTGGATATAAATATATATCTCCTGCATGTGTAAGCATCAATTAATTTGAAAAAAAGTCAGTTAGAAGCAAATTAAAGAACTAGTATTTCCTTCTAAGTTCTTACTACAATGTTAGTTCTTCAGTCCATTCATCATATACTTATTTTTTCTGCTAATTATTAGACATACATGTATATTCATAGGCCAGGCCTTCAAATGATGAGGCAGGCATCCGTTTAATGGTATATATTAAGGAAATTTTCTCAAATTTACCTCCTGCATGTCCTCATATATGGGCTTCTGTGGACAAGAATTATATTTCTTAGATTTTAGATGAGAAAGTAAAACAAGATATACATACATGCAGGGATTATATATACGATTTTTTTGATAATTTTGTTTGCAATTAATATGCTATTCAGGTGGTCTCAAATCGCTGCTCGTCTTCCAGGGAGGACAGACAATGAAATAAAGAATTTCTGGAATTCAGCCTTAAAGAAAAGGTTGAAGCATAACAATGCTTCCTCTACATCCATATCTCCAAACAACAGCAATTCATCAGAGGCCTACATAGGTTTAGGAGGGTTGCAGCTGCCCATGCACGACCAAGATCATAATATCATAGCCACAATGTGCATGGACTCATCTAATTCCTCATCATCATGTGCATCCACACAACCAATGACTACTACTACCCAATTCGTTGATCCTTTCCCAGATTTTCTGGACATGACTACGTGTGGTCCTGGTAATTACAATTTCTTCACCATGCCTTCCTACTGTTTAACACAAGTTGGTATTTCATCAGAAGGATTAATGTCAACATTGGGGGATTACGGGCCATTGGAGGCAGGGAAAATGGAGATAGAAGCAGGGGAGTTTTCAACACTTCCTCCATTGGAGATCAGTAGTATTGAAGAGAAGAATATTAATAATATTGGTATGACTAACAGCATTGATATGAAAAGCAATAGCACCCACTGTAATAATGGTTGCTTCAACAACACTCAAGTGGCGGGGGATGTGTTTGGGTTAGAAAATAATTGGAATAATGGAGAAAACTTAAGAATGGGAGAATGGGATTTAGAGGGTTTGATGGGCAATATTAATATATCTTCCTTTCCCTTGGTTGATTTCCATGTTGAATAACAAACAATATTCATATGGACATGGACCCCCCCCCCCTCTAGAGCTACCCACATCCAGCTATATATAGCTAGCTATAGGAACTTAATTTTTAGTTAGGCATTAATATTCTTTTCCAAAAATTACTTTGCTGCATCTCTCTCTCAAAGACTCAAACGTCAAACCTGGCATTGATATTTTTGGCTTTCCATTTGGACCTCCTCCTCGGCTGGGTTGAGGTGCTTCAATAAATTTGAAGGTCTGCATGGGTTGGTTGAATAAATATGTGAGTACTCTATAGCTAGAAGGCAAAGGTGGAGATTGTTGAGTACTTGAAGGCAAGGCAATTATTCAATAGATTTGCGGGAAAATTAATTAAGGTTTTGTTACAAACTCAGTGTAGCTGGTCATGGATACTGATCAAATAAAGGAATTATATTTCATGTCAAGTAAAGTCTCAAATGTAATTTTGAATGTACACTTAGAGGAATAATATTCATGTGAATGTGCATGTAATGTAAACATATGCATACACATTAATAAAAATCAGAATTAAAATTCATATGCAACCCTTTTAATTCTAGCTATCTAATCTAGCTGCTGCCTGCTTTGTTTATTTTATTACGCTTTGTCTGTTTTATTGTATATATGTATGAATGGCATCAAGACATCAACTTCAGAAGAGCAAAATTACTCCTCCTAGTTGCCCTGCTACAAATGCAATTTTATTACTGAAAAATTAAAGGTTAAAATACCAAATTGGTCCCTTAACTTTTAAATTTATATCAAAATTATCTCTTAATTTCAAAAAAATACTAAAATTGTCCTTAAATTTTAATTTTTGATATCAAAATAGCTCTCAAACTTTGAAGATAGTACTAATTTAGTCTTTGAACTTTGAAGATAAGTACCAATTTAGTTCTTGAACTTTAATTACAAATAACAATTTGGTCTTTCAACTTTAATTATATATCAATTTAATAAATAAATAAAAATATACCATGATAATAAAATAAATTGTTTGATTTTATATATTATTAGTATTTTAAAAAAGAACTGATTTTGTGATAAAACAATGAATTATGTGGCATTTTTGTTAATGAAAAGACTTTTTTGGTACTAAAAATTAAAGTCTAGGGATAATTCTGATATTTTTTAAAGTTAAAAGATCATTTTTGGTATAAATTTAAAAGTTGAAATATTAAATTAGTATTTTAATCAAAATTAAATTACGTCGCCTCAGAGATTCATCAAACTCTCGGGGAAACCCCATGTACTTAGCAGGCACACGCCTTAATTAATCACTTGGCCAAAGTGACATTCGATGATAAATATTATACTTTATACTTTTATCAGAATTCTATATTGTAGTTTGCACCAATTGTTTGCTATTGATGAAGGATGTGCTTCTAATATTAGATAGCCAGCCTCCTTCGTCATTGAGGGAACTGTACTTCATTTTTCTTTATTTTATTGTAGAACAATTAATTCTTGTTTTATATTGGACCAGTGTATTAAGTTCCTGACTAAATATTGGGAAAAAAAAAAGAAAAAAAACTAAACTGGCCCTAAAGGTGAGATTGCCTACCGCTCAAAAAAAAAAAAAAAAAAAAAAAGACCACTTAGGCGTACTAAATAGTTTCAATTTTGGATTTATTAGTTTAAATTTTGCCCCATTTTATGGGAACATTTCTTATTTATGTTTTTCTGATCTTGTTTTGATTTAAATAATTATTTTAGTATATCCGTACCTTCTAATCGACTTGTCTTACAAACACTACAAACCACCACCCAGTTCTCAAGCACCACTAGGCACTTGGACATAAAAGAAAGAATAAATATCAATTTTAGTTCTTCAACTTTAATGTTTTGTATAATTTTTATTTCTCAACTTTTTTATACACTTTTTTAGTTCTTTAATTATGAAAAATACATTTTTTTAGTTATTATGTTAGTTAATCTATTAATTTTGTCTAAATATGCACATTTTTCATCATTCAATTTAAAGTTGAAGAACAAAAAATATACATATATTAGAAGTTGAGGGATTGAAAATATACATATATTAAGAGTTGAGAGATTAAAAATGTATAGATTTAGATAGATTTACTAGATTAATTGATAGAATGACAAAAAAAAGTATATTTTTCATAGTTAAGTGATTAAAAAATACATAAAAAAAAAGTTAAGGGATGAAAACTATGTAAAATTTTAAAGTTGAGGGATCAAAATTAACATTTAACTTAAAAGACAAAAGACATGTAATGTATGTGTGGCAGTGAGATTTTAATCAGTGCATGCATCCAAAGAATACAAACATATTAAGATATATAGATCCCAATTAAAAGCTAATTAAGGTTCAGCGGATTGAAAGTTTGTTTTGGAACTAAACAGAGGATTATTGTCTAAAAGTCTTTATTTTTTCTTTTTTTTGATGGGAACCTAAATCTTTATTAAATATTTTGGACATTTTTTTTCCTTAATTAATATATATGGCCTGCCTTGCATGCATCATGCATGTTTTGTTTTGATAATCATGTGTAAAGTTTTGTTTGTTCGAAATTAAAATCTATAGAGATTAGTGTATTTTTATCAAAAATTAATCAATTAGTTTCTGTTTTAAGATTTCCTTTCAACTCGAATTAATATATAATATATATATATATATATTTAAAAAAGACGGTTTTTTCTTGGCCCAATTCTGTTTTGCTTCAAGGCACTCGTATACTATTTAGCCCAATTCCTTTTTATACGCAAATGATGTAATGAAGCATTAATTAATTAATTAATTAATTCTAGAAAATTAGAAGTGCCTTTGACTGACTTGACCGTTTTAATTTCTCTTTATTGCGAAACCGTGTTGACTTTTCAACGTAATATGTACGGCCAAAGACCCTACTTGCTACCACTGCTTCTTCTTTTCTTTTTATCTCTCTCATCGCTTTTCCACGTTCATACCGTCTTATTGTTTGTCCATAAGCGCACTTAAATCCTAATTATAATCACCATCGCTTAGAATTAGTTGTACAGCATTAGAATGAACCAATAATTAATTCTAGAATTAGTTCCATCTCATTCTTTCTGCCTTTCTTTTTTAAAGTGTTTGTCTAGTGTGATTTGAGCATATATATTGAAAAGGATAATAATAACTTTTTTAATTAACTTATATTAAAAATTATAAGAAGTAATATTTATTTTAATACTATTATCACATAGATAATCATAATGGACTAATTAATTAAATTAAAATCAACTTTTATATTTTTTCTACAAATTAATTACAAAAAATACTATGCATACATTTTTAATTTGTGCTATAAAGTTATATTATAGAAAAATTCCTTTTAAAAAACAAAAATGTAAATATGCTTATTACTATTTTTTCTTTTAATTCTTTGATTTTTGATGCACAATTCCTTAGAAGCTACAAAATTCTTCATTTCCAACCTTTTTTTTTTTTTTGAACTATTTTATCTATATTGTACAACTTAAGATTTTTAATTTTTATTCGAAGGCAATTACTATTACTCCATAGAATACCTAAGTAATATTCCAAATTTCCAACCATATTGATTTTGTAGTAAATTACCATGCACTTTACAAAGGCAGATACACCAATCGAAACTTGTTGAAATTAATTACAGAGACAATTCTTTTTATGTGAATGATTTGTCAAACAAGTCCGCAAATCTTCCGCACATTCACATTGACATGTGCATCTTTCTTTTTCCAGAACAGAAAAAAAAAAAAAGCATTATCTAGCCTAGAGATATACAGAACAGGTTTATCTAGAATATAAGACAACGTACATTTTATTTATTAATATGAAACCCCTCCCACAGTTAGGGCTCCCCCTGACAGGCCACGTCAAACTTTTAGAGTGCACATTAAATTGATTTTACAACATTAATTATTTATTTAAATATAAATAATTACATGCTCTTTTTTTTTTTTTTAAGGTTTATAATTGCAGGGTGGAGGGTTTATATCCCAGTTTTTGAACAGGAGGAATACAATTTATTAGATGGTTTATAATTGTTGGACTGCAAGAATCAAGTGTAATTGTAAAGTCTTTGATGAACATTGTGTTCTTTGAATTAATAATATTGATATCTATTGGGTAAATTAATTTAATTTTTATAGCTATTTCCTATGCTCTATTTGGTCAGTGACGGACCTTTGATTATATTACCCTAGAAGATTAATTCTGGATTTGATACATGTCCTTTCTTACAAGCTACGTACCACTATTAGTATGCGTATATAGTATAGATGTATCCATGAGCAAAGTTGAATGAATGAATGAAATGCTAATTTTGTACTTCAGTGTACTTATTAATTTTGACCTCTTTTGATGCAATAGATGATGCAATAGATGCTTTACAAAATTCTAAAGCATCCCCCTCCTGGGATTGACTAGAGATACAAACAAAACATATAGTTTAACTATTACTACTACTTTGTGTTTTAGCTTTAATCTAAGGGAAGAGAAAGAGAAATCGAATCTTATTTTGGGGGAAGTTTCAGAGAAGCAGACAACAGATGGTCCCAATTGAACAGTGATTTAATTAAATAAGATACAGTGACACGTACAATGCAATGAGATTATTTGTTGGTATCCGCCCACCTAGTCTTACAAGTCTAACTTTTCAAGTGTGTTATCAGGAACGCAACACAACCCAGGGAGGCTTTATCCCCACACCCGCCTATTCTGCAAGCTTTTTAATTAATTAATTAAGGAATTTTTTAATCTATATTTTTAAGTGTATTTATTGTGTATTTTTATTATTAATTTATGTAAAAAAAAATTTATTTAAAATTTATCAACCATTTAATTAAATTATCTTATGTGATATTGGTGTTAAAATAGCTTTTTTTTAATAAAATTTTTTATAACTTTTTATATAAATTATGATTAAAAAATAATAAATAAATGCTTAATATGTCTCTCATTAATTAATATAACAATTAAGTACTACTAATAATTATTCTTCAAAAAAACAAGAAATTAATTGACATATGTCTGAAATTGGAACAGTTTGATCCAAACATTGTAACTCACCATCATTTCTTCTTCTTCTTCTTCTTCTTCTTCTTTAATTTCCAGGCGAGTTGAAGCCAGAAATTAATTTTACTAGATCAACAGAGAAATGGGGAGAGGTCATTATAACTAATTTGTTTAATTTTAGTATTTAGCTAGCTAGGTACCCTGAGTTTGAATAATTAGATTTGCTTTGTTCATTAATGGTCAACAAATTAGTTGTTTTAATTTGTAGTAGAGAAGACTCCTTTTTGACGACAGTTGGTTCAATATATCAACTCCACTGAGGGAGGTTCATTCAACTTTCTTCAAGCGGGTTATACCTCAAATTTCTCTTTCACCTCCATCTTTTAAGTAACCTTTTGGACCATCTTCTCTACGTACTTGCTAGCCATTAGTAATTAAGTATTTCTCTTCTCGTATCCATAAACAAAATCTTTTGATTCCCAATGTTCCAACCCAACAATTACTCAACCTTAACATCTACTACTATTTAAGGTTTTCTCTCCATCTCCTCCCTAGCTACTCATATCTTACAGTCTTCTTTGCATATATATCCATTTTTGTATGCAGTTAATCCTTTGATATCGATCACTTCAGTGGCAGCTTATAAATTGGTAGGATCAACTGCAACGTTAATTTCAAGATTCACCCTGTCTTTTTGGCATTCTTCAGTACCATATATATGGCTGCTAATGCTAATACTGATGAAGTTGGAAACCCCCATGAGAGGAAGTGGAAAATGCCACTAGGCGTTTTCTTCCATGACGCAAGGTACAGAATTGAGTCTGCCTTATCTATGCATATTATTGACAGGAAGCGCGTTAATTTGGATTTAATGATGTTCAATTACAGACTCGTTTTCAAAATGGATTCACTTGGTCGGGAGATTCTCAAAATTGCCTTCCCCGCTGCCGTGGCATTGGCTGCTGATCCCATTGCTTCCCTCATTGACACTGCCTTCATTGGCCGTCTTGGTATATCTATATGCTTTCATAATTTCCTACTACGTGAAGTGTGTGATATTCTAATTATATACATGTGCAGGACCTGTGGAGCTGGCTGCTGTGGGAGTTTCCATAGCCATATTCAATCAGGCATCCAAGATCACAACTTTTCCGGTTCTTAACATTACTACATCTTTTGTTGCCGAAGAGGATACCATTAAGAGACTTAACATGGAAGCAGAAAATGAGAAAATCAAAGAGTTGGCCCCGGTGGAAGCCATTGCTGATAACATGGAAAAAGGCATTGATATGAGTAGTTCAGATAAGAATGAGAAAACAGAGGAGTTGAAGCCAGAAGATGCTGATAACTTGGGAAATGCTGCTCCTACAAATGTTGATACCATAGAGACAGAAAATGGTATGTATATATATCTCATAGCAATATCCGCATTTCCACATTAGAATTTTGGTAAATCAAAGGGGAAATGAACAATTTTTTATTAATTAAATTGTTTATATATTTTTTGTTTTCTTAATAAGATACAAAGACAAATATTGCATGCAAGTCTTCCTCTTCACCTGCTGGCAAAAGTGGTGAAAAAGCTAAACCCATCAAGAAAGAGAAGAAACATATCCCTTCTGCATCAACAGCAATAATTATTGGCCTAACTCTTGGTGTATTGCAAGCTCTTCTTCTCATCTTTGCAGCCAAACCCCTCCTAGGTCTAATGGGCGTGAAGCATGTGAGTACCACCTGTACTTGTTTGTTTTTATATATACTACTACCATACTATTATGGATCATTTATTCAAAAGGGAAGTCACGTCGAACCATGTTTTTGATTGAACAGAATTCCCCAATGTTAGCCCCTGCACAAAAATACTTGATATTGAGATCATTAGGAGCTCCTGCAATTCTTCTATCTTTGGCCATGCAAGGGGTCTTTCGAGGGTTTAAGGATACAAAAACACCTCTATATGCCACTGGTAAACAATATAAGAATTTCAATCTGTTAAATGTTACTTTGATTACATATATATGTATATAACCTCTGTTTAATCTCCATTGATCCTTAATTGATCATGTATTTACTCCATTCAAATATATAGTCGCGGGAGACGTGATGAATATCATTTTGGATCCAATACTTATCTTTGTCCTTCATCTTGGAGTCACCGGTGCTGCCATTGCACATGTTGTATCTCAGTAAGTTGGTCCTTGGATGGATAAAAAATGGTATATATTTTCCATGTTTAATAAAACCCATGTTAATTAATTATCATGTTTAGGTTAATTAATTATCTTATTAATTTGTAATGATTATTTCAGATACTTAATCTCATTGATCCTCCTCTGCCGATTGGTAAAGGAAGTTAATCTCTTACCTCCGATGATGAAAGACTTGCAGTTTGGTCGGTTCCTTAAAAATGGTAAGGATTCATTAGCCCTTTGTCCTCGGTACAATTAATCATCTAAACCAAATTAGTGAATGAGTAATTTTGATTTGATCTCACGTGATGAACACAGGTTTTATGTTATTGACGAGAGGAATAGCAGTGACATTCTGCGTGACACTGGCAGCATCACTGGCTGCACGGCTAGGTGCAACACCAATGGCTGCATTTCAGATCTGCTTACAGGTTTGGCTCACCTCATCACTTCTTGCTGACGGATTAGCCGTAGCCGGGCAGGCACTTCTTGCTTGTGCATTTGCTGAGAAGAATATGAAGAAGGTGACATCCACTGCAACTAGAGTATTGCAGATGAGTTTTGTTCTAGGAATGGCACTCTCGGTGGTTGTTGGACTTGGTCTATACTATGGATCCGGAATCTTTTCCAGGGATCCTAAGGTTTTACAAATTATATGCATAGGAGTACCGGTACTGATTACTCACTCTTCTATATAACTCATATCTCTGATCCATTAATTAATTAATTAACCTCAATTAAACCACCTGAATTAATTTTTTTTTTTAATCAACTTAACAGTTTGTAGCAGCTACACAACCAATCAATTCAATAGCCTTTGTTTTTGATGGGATAAACTTCGGAGCATCTGATTTTGCGTACACTGCTTACTCCATGGTAAATAAATATATTCATAACATATA